TTGTGGACAATAGCCTCTTGTTGATAATATATCAATGTTAATGAGTTGAACATGTTTAACTTGAGTAAAACCCGCACCCATGTGAGCTTTTGTGCCTAAATATAGTGTGTGCAATTTTCATACACTCTTATTTTTTTCATGTGTGCGATCTTATGTGTTTTGCTTCTCTAGAACTTGCTTTGAGACCTCTCAAAACTTTATATCATATATTATTCTATTTTGGAGACGATAGTAGGCATTAGGACTTACCATCATTGCCATATATGCCAGTGCCTTACATGTTTTCCCCTAGTTAGCCATTTTGAGCCTATATGTAAGCCTTTTGTTCTTAAACCTACATTTTCCTTACCTAGCCTCTTATATTAAAAATTCCCTACCCTACTAAGAAGCTAGTAGAGTACGTTTTTCAAAGGAGAGAGTTCATGGTTATTTAGAGGTTGAAGAAGCAAATTTTGTGAAGAAAGCCAACTACAAATGAAGAGCAAAAGAAGAAAAGAGAAAAAAAAATCACTATGAATCACGAGTGAGCTGCCAACATTATAAGAAATCAAGTGTGTTGGTATAAATGAAGAGCAAGAATCATCTGAAATGAATTGTGCGGTTGTATGTCGTTCATGTCTCAAATCCAACCGCTCAATTGAGTGCTAAGTTACCTGGTTCGTTGTTGTATTTCTCTCTTAGTTTCATTTCCAACTACTCTATTAGTTTCTTAGACTTTGTGTTTCCTATATCCTTCATTTCTTTAACCGAGTACCTGAAGCCCCATTACATCCTTAACAAAGACCTACTTGATCCAAAGAAGTTAATTTTTGATGTGTGGAGATGAGATCAATCTGCAAGCCTATGATAGAGCATTCATGTAATGATCTTTTGAGTGTATACACTTACCCCCAAACACTTTAAATGAAAATTCGAGCGTATATCTTGTGAGCTTAAGGGTTTAAGTTAAGTTGGTCATGTAAGACTTAATTACATTTGTGTAGTATCAACTTTTGGCTATACTTGCAACTACACTCATACATGTTATGTTTTAGGGACAATGTTAGGTTGTGAATGAGGATTCATAACTACATGTGTTTTTGCCCTCTTTCGTTCTTGTTGGAACAATTATATGCTTCTCATACAAAAAAAAATCATCTCATTTGTGTGCTGCATTTCATTATTATTTTTTTAAAGCATTTGTTTAGGGGGAGCTTAACAATATGAAAGATGCATTTCTTTTCATGTTTCTCTTTTCGACTATTGCACTTGTATTCTTTTCCCTCCTAATTTTGTCCCCACTTCTTGTTCTGAAGAGGTTCTAGTTCATAGAAAGGAAATCTTTCTCCATCACATTTTGTTATGTTCCACTTATCTTCCGCTGACTGCACCTGATGGTTACCTCTATAGCCTTTGACCTTTCTAGACAAAAAGGGGGAGAAGTAGGAAGCTTATATTTAGGGGGAGAAGTAGAATTTCGAAAACATGATTGTTTTTTGTTGCTTGCTTTTATAGATAAATGCTTTCATTTTCAGCAACGTATATCTTTTGTACGTCACATGTTTTCTTGTTTGAGTGTGTGCAGGTTACAGACTTCAATGTTATGCATGGTCGTTAAGTTTATTAGTTGTCTGTAATACTGTGATAGAGGGTTTTGTCTAGGAAATGCCAAAGGGGGAGATTGTTAGGGTAAAATTGGCTATTCCTAAACAAAACGTCTGAGTCTGTAATCTTAGACTCGTACATATTTTCCATTGTAATTATTTTAGTCTAAGTTTGTCTCTTGGCTCTCTATCACAAAACTGGCAAGCGTTTCAGAGACATCCACTCAGGTATGTTTGCATGCATGCATCCAACTACATCTATATCACATGGTATTGTAGTTGGGATATGACTTTTACCCTTTGTGGGTTTTATCTCTTTAGAATGACTTATCCTTTCTACATTAATTATTAACACACGCTTTCAAAATAATCTGATTGCACTTGGTGAGACTTATCTGATTGCATGGGAGTTATCTAAATGGTTTGCCGTCCTTATCAATTTATTTGGTGCGGTGCCGTGCATTATATAAGAGATGTCAGGGATTTGTTTAAAGCAAGCCGCATATGCATATAACCTGGTTTCTTTGATAAAATATTTTGAGGCAGCAGCTTGGTGTTTTGAATAAGGAAAAATATTTTTGATATTGCTGCTGTCTTGTGGTTTCAACATCATGTGTTTTTAAAAGAGAAAATATTATTTTCATGCTGATTTCATTTGGGTTTTTTTATTGAATGTCAATTATGAAAATGTGCCTTGTGATTTTCATAATTGATTGATTTTTCAACCAAACACTTCATCATATAAACATTCTGCATGATCGCGTTAGTATCCTGCAAAGTTCGAGGCGACAGTGATTGACGGCCGCGTTAGTGTCGTGCCACTTCAACTCGAAGGCTGAAGAGAGATCTAGTAGCAAAGCGCGGAGACAAAACTGCCTACTAGTATGCGTGTCTAGTTGATGAGTTTTGTAAGTCTTTCTGTACTTATTTCTCTTAGTGTTTGTCCTGGCTTGGGAGCCCGAGGATTTTCCCAGTGGTGGGTTTTGCCTCGTTAAATCCTACATCATGTGTGAACTTTTTATTTATTGTTTTAATTGCATATGAGTATGATAGTTTGATATGTGATGTGAATGTGGATTTAATTTGAGAACTGAAAATTAAATTGAAAATTGAATTGAATTTTTAAATTGGAACCTATTCACCCCCTCTAGGTTAAACTAGTACCCATCCTAGAACTTTCACAAAGGGTTACATTCAATTTAATAGCCTCAATTTGATAAGTCAGTGGATGGCACATGGAATCCTTGAATCTCATACGGAGTTGGAAGATGGTGAGCTATATTTCAAAGAGTTATGGGACAGATCTTTCTTTCAAAATGTTAAAGATTACGGTCTCCACTATGAATTTGATATGCATGATCTCATCCATGACCTTGTACAATCAGTCGCACAAGGTGAGAGTTTCACAGTAGACTCTGCAGGGACCAAAGGCATCTCTGAAAATGTTAGACATCTAACAATTTTGAAAAGTGCCCAAAATGTTTCAACAACCTTGCAAAAGTTTAAAAAAGTGCGGACCATAAGTGTATGGAGTGGTAAAAATATTGATGAATCCTTCCTCAGCACTTGCATTTCAAGATTCAAATATCTGCGGGTGCTTTCGTTATTCTATTCACCTTGGGAATTGTTGCCGAGTTCCATTGGTTCTTTGAAGCATTTGAGAAGCCTGTACTTGGCTAGAAATGAAAGAATCACCGCACTACCCAATTCAATTTGTAAGCTGCAGAGCTTGCAGACTCTGATTCTCGTTGAATGCATGAATCTCAAAGAGTTGCCTAGAGACATGAGCAAGTTGATCAGCCTTAGACTCCTCCATTTTACCACAAAGCAATCAAGTTTTCCAGAGAATGGAGTTGGATGTTTGACATCACTTCGATTTCTTTCCATTTGGGACTGTAGTAATCTAACGTGTTTGCCGCGTGATACGATTTATCTTGCGTCATTACGCACTCTGATAATAAGCAATTGTAAACAACTTGATTTGGTGATGGAAAACTATCAGGTAATTCCACTAAGGCTCCAAAAATTGGGGATTCGGAAAGTACCACGAATGGTGGCATTGCCTGAATGGTTTCAAGGAGCCACAAACACACTACAAGTCTTGGTTATAGAAGATTGTGAGAACTTGGAGGCATTACCTGGGTGGCTGAGGAGTTTCACATCGCTTAGAAGGCTTATCCTCAACTCATGTCCCAAACTTTTGTCTTTGCCAGAGGAGATGCATCGCCTCACTGCCTTAACAGATGTTTGGATTGTAGATTGCCCTGATTTGGAGAGGAGATGTCAGCGCGACACAGGAGAAGATTGGCCAAAGATTTCTCATGTTCCAAATGTTTCTTTTGAATAGCGATGAATTTCTCGAGATGCGAATAGAAACATACACTGCTGTCTTCAATGCCGCCTGCCTCTGTCTTGGTTTCTGAGTTGCTTGTAGTTTGTTCCGGCCAATGTAAATTGTGGTGGGGGCACAAGTTGATTTATATTTCAGTAGATTAAAACATGTTTGATTTGTTGTAATATTACTCCAATTTAATCAACCTTTTTTACATCAAACTCCTTCCTTGTCAGTCACACTTTGAATCAACATTACTTGACTATTTTGCTTGCTTATTTGTTTCTTGGAAACTCAAGTCTTTTAGAAGCGGTATTCTGGGATCTAGTAATTCCGACAGTCGGTGATTTCAGCGTCATCAAACTAGGTAAAACTATCAGAGGAATTCAGCATTTAAATAGAAGAAAGGTTGCTCGCTAAATCAAATTATGACCCATCCATTAACAAAATAAAATAAAAATTTTACTAAACAATAATCAACTTCTTCATTTCAAGCCCCGAGGACTTACGCAGAGTGAAAACTTTGTTATTTGTCATTCAAATAACTCCTCCATCTGAATTTCTGTTACAACCACACCATGGATGTTGAAATATCCACATAGACCATATCTCTAAGAAAAAAAAGAGTTTAAATATCACAACCCCACTCCAACTAATACCGAGGTTTTGTCACAAAAACCCAACACCTGACAGATTGTACAAGTGATAATACAATATCGGTATTATTAGTAGTGGCTTTTGCCCGTCTATCCGATAATTCTACAGTGGACCCAACTGATCTAACAAATGGCTTACATCACTCAAGTCAATGAGTTCGCGTTGAGATAAATCCTTCAAAGTTACTATCGTGGCCCTCGTGCCTTGTGCCGTGTCAGGCTTATATGACCGCACACATGAACCATGTATTGAGCCCACCGGTTCACACACTCTCATGTATATCTTATTATCTTACATGTCCAAACTAGTGGTGATATCCGGAGTGATGAATTGATTTTGAAACCTCGAGTGCAAAGATGAACGCTTAACCAACCTACAACTGCGTCGATTGTCTCTTAAGAAACATAAAGATGGAAACACGATACAAGTAGGAAAGATGGGCACTTTTATTATTAAAAAGAAACGAGTAACAATACAACATTGGCCACTCTTTCTTAGCAACATAACTTATGAAACTGGAACACTACAACATTATTGGCTAATCTTAGTTACTTCCCAGGCAGTTGAGTCTCTCAATCCATCTTGCTTAACCAGACACATCATCTCTTCAGATGCAAGACAATGTCCTAATAGCTAATCTCTTCAAATCAGATCAGACCACTTACACTTGGATCTCTACTGACCATCTGTACATCTCTTTTTCTGGTACTGGAATGGTAATCGTCGTCAATCCAGATGCAGAGTCATATTCGAAGTTGGTCTCAGCGTTGTCAACAGTGCACTTCAGCGGCCGCCGGGAACAGTAAGCTCCAAACCTTCCACATCCTCTGGTTTTGAGACCAATTGTCGCAGTTGGAGATCGGTTCTCGCTAACTTCTCCATTAGAAAGCTCTGGTTTCTTGTCAGAAGCCAAATGGATTTCAACCTCCTCCACAGCAGCACTTGAATTGAACATGTCAAGTAGGCCTATTGGTGCAAATGAGACGTCGGATGTAATTTCCTGCAATATACAAAAATTATATCAGTTGGTAAATGCTTTGCATTGGAACTTTTCACATTCAAATAAATGTTGGTGATAGCAAGGCTAACCTTGAGAGGACAGAAATGGAAAACCTCATAGTCAAGAACTTTAAGCGTCACAGGCACTGAAGCACCTTTTGGCAACCGAAGAACCTCACCTGACAATCAATCAACGTTTCATATTGTTATAAAGTTGAAGAGCTGGAATACTGTGAGAATAATGTTACATTCATAACAAAGGCAAGTAGATTTCTTCTTAAAACTTTGCCATTATCATATTGACACGTTATTAGAGAACTGCTTCCATGGCAATCAGAAGTGTTCCTTCAAACTAGCTTCTGTAAAGAAAGTAGTGGTACCTGACTTATGAGCATATACTGCTGTTTCTCCATTCCAATCAGCACCAGCAACTTGAGCAATGGCATCAACATCAGCGGCACGAACAGAACCACTGAGGGTACCAGGAGAGTAATCATGAATGCGCGTCTTCTTTTCAATCTTGCACCAACCGGCACCTTGACAGTTAAACACACCAACCACACCAGAGAGATTGTTGACATTCCATATTTTGAGCAAGCTGCAAATAGAATTATTCACACAAGCTTTACTCATAGGGATCTAAACTTTAACATAACTTCGGAAGCATAAAGAGGAGTAAACAGAACAAACCTGGTCCTGTCTCTTGCTGGATCAGCGAAGAGACAATCACGGGTAGGCCTGCCAGGTAACTTGGCACGGAGGACAGATCCATCAGGGAGAACCAGCTTCCTCAGAAGGTCAAAATTGTGATGGCCTGGCTTATCACTATTCACAGAAATACCAAACTTATGCATTAGAACCCCTACCTCCTGAAGTGGCAATAGAATAAATTTGTTTGATGCACAGCATTACCTGACATAGATTGCACATCCACCAAGAGCACGAGCTGCACCGTGATACTCTGCCGCTGGGTGTAAACTCTACAAAGCAAATATTTTTCAACCAATATCATGATATACGCAAATGAACTTGTATTCTAAATAATGACACTGAATGTCAAGCATAATCAACCAAAACGACTGCAGATAATCACACAAATTGTAATTGTAAATCTTGAACAAACATAAATATTGATGTTTGAAGCCTCCACCGAACAGAATAGACTAATATACATCAGCCAACTATATTCCACTGATACCTAATCGATGACGAACCTGAATGATTATAATAGCTATAGGTTAATAAGCATATATACGATTAGACACTAAACTCAGGTCATTCAAGGAAATGGCTCCTCACCAAATGTCCATAAATCATCATCCAGGTAAGAACAAACAAATCAAACAGTACCAAGTGTCCAAGACATAATGAACTAACGAAATAAGATAGAAAATGCTTCATTATTTTACTTACGTGAAACATATCCCAGTCAGGTTGCATGAATTCTCCAAGGAACAGGGTGTTATAAGCAACGGAAGATATATGAATTGTGTGTGAAGCAGGATCTCGGGGATAGAAGTCATCAGAGGCTCTGACCACAGCAGTCTGCTTGGCACTGTAGAGCCCATCAGTGTTGTGACACATGCAAGAAATGCATCCGTTGTCAGCAAAATTTCGAGCAACTGAAGCCTCAAGTGCCTGGTGGTAGCTGCGGGTCAGAGAAACTCTTCCACCATGACCAGACCCTAGAGTCTCGATGATATTCTGAACATCAACCTTAACTCCATCGACTCCACAGGAAGCCAAGTAGGAATGAAGCTCATTGTAGAAATTGAAAACTTTCTTTGGATGTACCAGACCAAGACCATGAACAGTTAAGCTGTCCATAACTATGTCTGGTTGGTTGCCCTCTACACCAGGGGACGACACTGGGTATGCCAAAGCAGTGTCATAGTGTTCCATGCCAGTAGCAGCTGGTTTTACTCCACCCCAGTACCCAGCTAGAGCATGCCATACATACACAAATCTGTGCCAGCAAGAAACATAAATTTGATTAATAAATAACAATACAACTGGCTGCACAATATATTGGTAAACAATCATAAAACATCAAGCAGAGAACAACAGTATAGCATCCCAATAAATAAGACAAAAAAATTATTGTCTGTTGTTAACGTAGTTAGATTTTATTTACAAATTAAACCCATGAGCCCATTGAAAATTTATTCAGATCATCACTCCACCATCACAGATATTGGTAATTGATTTCATGTTATAATTCTAAAGATTGTAACAAATATGATTCTCCACATCATCTTTACTATCACCTACCATTTTCAAGAACAAAAAATAATGGATTCGTAGATCCTAGCATTACTTTTCTATGCGTCTAAAGTAGGAAAAAAAATAAATTATATGTAGAACGTTACTAATAGAACAGTTGGCAGTTCGGGAGTACTCGTTGCTAGTCCAAGAAAGTAACCAATCAACTAGGACTACTTACTTCACATTGTGATGCTGCTTTGCTTCATCCACAACATGTTTCAGGCCAGAGACTTGCTCATTGTTGTGGTCGTTCTTTTGGAACTTTTCGTTCTCTTTGATTCCTGTCAACCTACTTGCAAACCTGCAATTAACATACTCGCATTAACTAAGCAGCTCCTTTAATTAGATAGACCAACCTGCCAATCATGCACGCAGAATATGGAAAGCGAATGGTAGGAAAAATGATTAAAGGGTAATCATTTAACATTGAGAAATAAGATAAAGGCGTTACTGTGCTCCTTCTTGTACAACGACACCAGAATCCTTGTCTTTATTTTCTATCTGCTGCCAACCGTCATCAACGATTAGGAACCGCGGAGGAGTCCCTCCCTCCGATAAGCTACAATCATTACAAAACAAAAAGTAGCGATTTAATAAATCTGATGATAGATTCAAGTTCCAGTAAAGGAGCAAGTTAAATATGATTTCATGTCTTATTACCTTTTAAGGCCTTGAACCACACCCTCAGCTGTGACATCGGTGTAAAAGGCATCCCATGTACACCAGCCAAACCAGTCCAGAAAAGAAGGCAACTACATGCAACAAAAAGATCGAAATTAGATTCATTCAAGAAACGTTTGCAACACGTCATTCCAATTGCAGAACACCAATTACAGAAGAAAACAATACGTGCTGGCCCTACCTTTTTCTTCTCGCGATGAACAAAAGTTTTCATGTGTTTTTCCACAGCCCTGTTTGATGAAATTGAAAAACATGGAGTCATGTCAAAAAATTAAAAGCAAAGACATTATACTAATCAAGACCAAACTATTTACCTTTTCTAGCATTAGCGTAATCGTATTAGCAAACAATACTAGATATTTAATCGCAGTTTTACAAGGATCAAAAGAAAGTCATTAAAAATGAAAATCAAGAACTTACTTTACAGCTTGGGTGATGACTTCAAATGGATTGGTTCCAGCGTGCATGTAAACGAGGCACTGGCCTTGATTGGTCTGAACAGCAGAATCTCCTGCAAAACCACACACAACAAAAAAAAAGAGTTGTTTTCGGTTCTTTCGAACTCGATTTCTGGTTTTTTTCTTTTTTTCCTTTCCACAAATGCTTTAAAGTCCAATTAATTTGATCCGTTTGATTGGTATTCATTACATGTGGTTTCTCCAGCCCGACTGTGATCGCATTAATGACAGCTCCACCCCCCATTTTCAGAATGTTGATCTCCTTCATAATTGGCGGCGGGATGGGACTGATTAACGGGAAGACATGGCCTTAAATAATGGAATGACTGGCAGGGAAGGTGTATATAGCCTACACCAAATACTTGTTTTTCATGGCCATAACTACTCACCACTCTCGAGGCAAACCTCGACTTCGTTCCTCTCATTCCCTTGCAGAACAGAGCGGAAAGGGCCCTCGAGTAGAGGCAGGAACACGGTGTAGATGATAGGAGAAGACTCGTCGTCTTCACCTCCATCACCACCACCTTTGCTCTCCACCACCATGAATTGGGTCTCCAATGGAACATCCTTCCCACATGTCCCCATCCTCTGAGTCATCCACCACAACTTGAATCGAAAACAGCACATGAAACGGAGATCCCTATCGATCATGACAACGATACTAATTACTACCATTTTCGGTAAAAAAAAAAATAAATTAACATTCAAAGCATATGAAAATCATTGCACTCTTAATCAATCTCCATGTACAACTAAATTCACAACATCTAAACTTTAACATATTAACATAAAGAAACAACTTACTCTAAAACCCCAATGGGGAAGATATGGAGGCTTTTGTTGTGGGCGGCCGTGGCGCCAATGAAAGCACCGGCAAGGAGTCCGACACCGGTCCCGGGTGTCAGTATGATGTTGTCTGGAACCCCAGTCAAAATGGTCTTTCCATGAACCACCAGGTTCCCATCATTGATCGAAATCTGCGCTGTGACCGTCATGGTTGATGACTGCCTGCCAAACTACTGTCCCAAAACATCAAACACCATGGCATTGACATGATCAGAACAACAAATTAACAAATTATCAGATAAAAAAAAGAAAATTAATTTATATTTATAATAATTCAAATTTTATCTTTTATTCATAAATTTAAAAAATCATAATTTTTGGGAACAAAAAGATACCATCAATGGAAAAAATTAAGAACCAAGGTAAGTTGCATGTTGGTTTTTTTGGTAAATCTAAAAATCTGAGGCAAAACTGATGCAGAAAACAAAAACCCAGAAGCCAAAAGGGGAAATAATATGTGGGTTTTGAGCTTTGGACCACAACGCTTGGGCCTTTTTACCCTTTCCAGCCATTAACTTTTGCTAAAAGCCTCGAACTTTTTTGTTTGAAAAATTCCCACAAATTCAGAGCAACCATACAAATCAAAGTCCAATAGCATGAATTAATTCACAGAGACTGAAGGGTTAATTAATTAATTAAAAGCTTAATGATGAAGCTAACAAAGAGCTCAAGCAGCTCACACCACCGCCATCAGAATCAACAAATCAAGCTCAAACAAGTTCCCTACATACTCACCGAATTTAGAGAGAGAAAGAGAGAGAAGCTCTGGAAAACCTAAACCCAACAAGTAAATGCGCTTGAAAGCAATAAGCACTCAGTGAGTTTCGAAATTACGCGGAAGAAGGTAAGGCTCCGAATGGGGTTGGTGTGGGCTTATATAGCAGTGACCTCGTTAAACTTCGAGCATCTTCCTGTCCTTGATCCTTCCGGATGATGCCACGTTGGCTATTTCGTGACTAGATTTTCCCAATAGATGTGTTGTATTCTCGTTGTCATCTTAATGAATACGGTTCATGAATCATGGAATCAAAATATAATTTAATATGTTGTCGATGATTGTGTTGGAGTAGAATTCTTAAACTCAAGTTAAGGTGGAAATTAATCTTGATCAAAAGAAGCATATTATATTTTATATATTATAGTAAACGATTCAAGAAATAGGTATGTATTAAACAATTTGGTAAGAGAATATTTTCGTAATGTTAAAACAAGTTGAATGACAAAGGACTAATTTTTTTGTTGCTGATACAACAATATTAAGTTAATGATATTTCGGCCACCCAATGAGTCATTCGTAGTTAAATATCAAACTTGGCATTCATAATTATTGAATATAAGACATCCAACTTATAAGTTAGGAAACCACAAACAAAATGCAAAATTTTTAAAGAATTCGAGAAAAAGAGTGACTATTTAAATGTTATATATAAAGTTTCCTTCTTGTATTTATTTCATAAAAAAAAATAGTTAAATTCACACAATTAGTTCTTGCTAAGCAAGCCGAGATTCTCTCTAGATTTCTATGACAGAGCGATGGATCAAGTAATTCGGACTACTCATTTTAAATTCTACGGTTTTCATTAGCCCATTTCACTTGTCTACAAATAAATCAAGGGTTCGAATCTCTCACTTCAACAGCCTGAATTAGCTGATCCTTGAATTCCGGACACAGAGATCTAGAGATGATCTCAATTCTTGCTACCATCCATTGTGTCCTGTGAATTTAATAATGAAAAGGAAGTCAGTGGCTCATTAGCTAGCTATGATTTCATGCATGTACTAGAACAATGTATTGGTTAAATTCTTTATGCAAATATAAATATCATCATTGGGTACAAAGGAATATGTGCTATGATGCTTAGATTCCCATTACACAAAAATTTATTTGGTTGGTCCAAATCAAATCCTCAGAAAGTTAACAAAAATGACCTCAAAGGAAAACAAACTATGACATGATAAGAAGGAATTTAAATGGAAGAGAGTCCAGAGATTGCTTTATTCTTGTGTGGAAAATTGTTAAAGCATTTGTTAAAGCAAAGTGATCTTTACACTTTTTTTGGTAAAAAACTGTGACTGAAAAGATCTAAGAAAAACAACTAACTATTAACAAAATGAGTTTTGAGGAAACCCAATAGAATCTCAAAGATCAACCTATCCACGACGAGGAGGCTCATCAAAAACATAAAAGACCAGTGTAAAAGTCATGACCTAATTTTGGTCTTAGGACTAAATAAATTAAAGAAGAGTCAACAAATAAAATTAAGAGAATGAGTGCAGAAGAAAAAAATGGTGACTTGTGAGTGTGAAGAGTTCTACCTTAACCATGTTAAAAATTCTCAAATAATTTATACATATCTTTTAGTGTTATAAATAGGCAATATGAGATAGAATTTTTTTTTTTTAAATTGAAGTAACATGACCGATGTATCACTTTATTTGTTTTCTTTACTTGTGTCAAACAAGAGAAATGAACATAGAAGAAGAGAGGTGAGGGAAAGTCGTATTATTACAATTTTCTTTTTGATCATTTTCTACTGCTCGTATGATACGAGCATACCTCGATATATAGAGGTTTTAACCTGATATCTCTTTTACGACCATCTCTAATTCTTGAGTTAAAACCTAAAATTTAGGTTTTAAACTAACTCAATCATTCTCCAATGGTTAAGCCTAAAATAAGTTTTGGATTAAAACTTAAAATTTGAGGAACTTTAAACCCAAAATTTCGGCCAGGGTTAAAGGATTGGCCCACCTTAATTTTAAATTTTAAAATTTTAATACATTAAATCCTAAGGCTGAGATATATAGAATATGATCAAATCTAACGGTAGAAAAAAATATATAAAGGCCCAAAATTAAATCCAACAGTTAAAACAATTAAAAATTATTTAAATCAAAATTCACCCAAAAACTCTATAAATACATGTTTCATGGTATTGGTTTAGTGAATTTTCAACTTTTATCGGAATCTAAATATTTTTAGGTTAGAATGCTCATAAAAATAAATTATGATAATCTACATTTTATTTTTTAAAAAAAAGGTACTGAAAAAAAGTCTAACCTAAATTCATTCTCTAATAATCTTGGGCTAAAATTTTAACCAAGAATCAATAGAGCAGAAAAACTATTCCTCAGTTAAAACCTAAATTTTCTGAGTTTAAAATTTAGGTTTAACTCCAAATATTGGAGTTGGTCTAATGCATGTAGAAAGCTTGTACACCAAAATAATAAAAACCAAATTTTTACTATTTAAGCCATACAATTTTGACTTCTATTTTGTCATCTTTCATCTTTCATCTTTAGCCATGTACTTATTTCTTCTTGGATAATGTTTGCACGCTCTTCATAGGGGAATATATTTGTCCCTCCACATATGATTAACGTATCTTTATCACAGACATCATGATCGTAACTGTTCATTCTCATTATCATCTACTAAAGATCATATGCAAGAAATCATTCAATTTGGAGAGCCTCAAACAAATGGATAATTCATCATGAAGATGCTACTTGTTACCAAAACAGTTGACACATATGAATGGCTAGACGATCTCTAAATTGAATGATTTTTTTGCAGATATGATCTTTGGATGATGGTAAAGAGAATGAACTGTTCCAAATCTTCTAATTATTATATTTGCATGCAAGGGCAGCCCTGATGATAGCCGAAGTAGGTGCTCGCCTAAGGACCACACTTCGAAAGGCCCCCAAAGTTTTTGTAAATATATATAAATCTTTACAATTCAAATTCAATAAAAATATCGCCACTTAGCACTACAGTCTAGTGATATTTCTTTTTACTTGTAAGTGAAAAGTCTTAGGTTCGATTCTTGCCAAAGGCAAATTTGAACCACATTATTTGTAACATTCCACATCGACCAATGGAGAGGGGGTGATGTGTCTTATATGCACATGCCCACCTCTATATAGCACAAGGCCTTTTGGGAACTCACTGGATTCGGATTCCATCGGAACTCCGAAGTTAGGCGAGTTCGGGCGAGAGCAATCTTAGGATGGGTGGCCCACTGGGAAGTTCTCGCGTGAGTTCCCAGAAACAAAATCGTGAGGGAATGGTAAGCCCAAAGCGGACAATACCGTACTATGGTGGAGCCAGTCTAAGATGTGGCAGAGTTTGGTATCAGAGCCACTCTACCGTGTGGTGCAAGTGTGCTGACGAGGACGTCGGGCCCTTAAGGGGGTGGATTGTAACATCCCACATCGACCAACGGAAAGAGGGTGATGTGCCTTATATGTACATGTCCACCTCCATATAGCACGAGGCCTTTAAGGAACTCACTGACTTTAGATTCCATCGGAACTCCGAAGTTAAGCGAGTTTGCGCTAGAGCAATCCTAGGATGGGTGGCCCACTGGGAAGTTCTCGCGTGAGTTCCCAGAAACAAAACCGTGAAGGTGCCGCCCAAAGCGGATAATATCGTGCTACGGCGGAGTCGAGACTGGGATGTGACATTATTGCTAGCCTATTGTGAGGTTAAGCTTACCCCCTTCCCTTAGTATAATAATATTGTTTGTTAAAAAAAATCAATAAAATTATAGGCAATTGAAAAAGAATTGGTTAAAAAATTAGACTATTTAAACTTAATTAGTACATTTGTGTCTAAAAACACGAGATGTGTAATATTTAAATAATGTTTGTATATTTTTCTTCTTTTAATATTGATTTTTAATGATATGTGATGTAGAAATAGACTTTATCATGTATTTAGAGATTTTTTTTTTATGCTTAGTAATGTACAAAGAGTCAAGGGTCAAAAAACTCTAGGACGCCACTTAAATCTAGCCTAGGGCCCAAAATCTCAAGACTGCCATGTTCGTGCAATGAAATTACGTTAATCATAATTGGGAGAATAAGTAAATTTCCCATAAAGAGACACAAGTCTTCCTTCCCTCACACGTTGATTATATAATGAACGTTACTACAAATAAAGTGTAGAACCATGACTTCGTGTGTTAGTAGGTTTGAGCAAAAACCCAAAGTGTAGAAATCGGTGATTGTCGGGAGTAAAGTTGATGATGTACGTGGTCTATTATCTCAAAGTTAAACAAGGGACTAGGGTTTATCAAAAAAACAAAAAAAAAGGACCAGGGACTAGAGAGATGCTGCATGGTCCGTTCATTGATGGAGCGTATGAAATCTTTGTCAGCATTGTATCTGCTTGCCAGGTCACGGGACTACTGTGTGACTAGCTGCGGTACAAGTAGGCCGGCCGAGTTTTATAAAGCAACCATGCATGTCTAAATAATGTCGGATCCGACCGAGTTTGTCGTCATGCACGTCAACTATGTAATTACCCGACTTCTTGTCAATCCTCAGCTACCATTTAGTTTTTTACTTCAAATTATTGTTTTCCATATGCGTCGAAAAGTAGGCCAAAGTACTACAGTAGTTATTCCTTTCGGTAGTTTGCATGTGTGTTATAACAGAAATTAGGCAGCCTAAATTTAATACCTAAACATGCTACACTAGTGTGCTTTTAATATATTGATGAGGTTAAATACTGAACTCATGAGTTTAATAAGTTTAATATATTAAACTCATGAGTTGGCATGACACTCAAATCTTTCGGCCTATTGTAAGAGTGTGATTCCGACCTACTGTGGAAGAGCTTAGTAGCTAGTTTTGAAATGAATTACTTAATTAATTTGATTTAGACTCTTCAATTCTCATACGTGTTTATGCAATGTTATCTTGCATGTATGTTGCATGTATGTTGTAACTTTTCTAGTCTAACATCACTTGTCAAGTATATAATACCTTACAGTTTAATGTTAATTTTAATGTCATTATAAAATAATGTCAAAAATATAAGATGACAGAAAATCCATAAAAACATTTTCTCATCCTCACAAT